GGGGGCGACTTTTTTTTTTGTTCTTAAAGAGCTGGGAGCTCTGGGGTGAGCAGGGCAGTCATGGGCAGGGTAGGGGGGTTGGGACAGTAGGCGGGGGTTGGGGGGCACTCAGGGAGCTGGGGGAGCAGGCAGGGGATGGGGCCTGGCAGGGGTCCCCCATGGTCCCCTCCCCCACCCCCCTTCCCTCACCCCTACTGACCAGTTCCAAGTCCTGCTGCAGCAACCAGGGACTGCTCTCTGAAGCTTTTCTGAAGATTCAGAGAGCTTTGAACTGATTTGGACCTTTTTATTGGTCCCCTGATTTGATTCAGATTTTGAGGTTCAGCCACTGAATCGGGTCAAATCTCCGAATCGAATCAGCACCCGAAGCTTCACACAGCCCTAGTTACCAAGACAGTGTCTGCATGTCTCCTCCTTTTGGAAACCTCTCCATCTGATGTTGAATGCTCTTTACTTTTACAGCATTTTGTTTGTGCCAAGTGCGAGAAGCCATTCCTGGGGCACCGGCACTATGAGAAAAAGGGGCTGGCTTACTGCGAGACTCACTACAACCAGGTATGCTCTGCTGTTCTTGTGATTGTCTTGGCTGAAGAGGGGCAGGCGCAGAAATTTTTGTCCTTATAAACAAGCTTGGGAAATAGACACTGGGTTTTCCTATCACAATACAAGTAGATGAAATTCTTTGTTGACCTGTAGTTATAGGTATGAGGGTGTACTAATGAAGTAATAATAGGAATGAAAAGATCCTGCCAGCTGATACAGAGCACTAGGAAAAGGATAGTGATTAGAAAATAGAAACCTACTGAGGATAACGATCCTCCCTGTGAAAGAAAAAATAATGTATATGGACTGCCATTAACATGTCTTAATTACATCAAATAAAATTGGGGTTAGTCAGTTGGATGGCTGGTTAGCTGACCTTCTGTTAAGAGTCAAGAGTGTTTTTTAATTGCTATAAAACAACCTTTTTAAAATTTAAACATACACACAATGTTTATATGTGTGTACTTATAATTGTTTAATTGTTTATTTTAAACACATACATATACGGGAGTGTGTGCATGTATGTGTGTGCATATGTATATGTTTATTTTTATTTTTTTTAAGATTGGTTTTATAACTATTAAGGAACTCTCTCGATCTTTAACAGGTCAGCTAACTAGCCATCCAGTTCACTAACACCAATTTTATATGATGTTATTAGAGATGTTAATGGCAGTTTATATATCATATTTTTGCTTGCTTTCTTTATAATGTTTAAAATAAATCTCATGGCATCTGGTTGATCATAGCACAGAAGAAATCAGTTCTGTTAACCAATTGGTAAGTAATTTTTCCACAAAGACAGTGAAGAACTGTGTCTTCTGCATTGATTGTCGTTGGACAAAACATTACTTCACCCTGATAAAGCTGTCAAAGGATATTTTTTGCTTTAAAAATAGTACTGTTAGCTTTGTATTGATGTTTATGACCTAGAATCTGGGGAGGTTTATCTTTGATTAGCATTCTGATCTATTTACACACTCTCTCTCAAATTCCCAGGCTTTTCTGAGAGTGGGAAACATAACAATGGTACCAGGAATATGAGGGATCCACAAAAAAGGTCATGTAGGGTTTGAGAGTACAGGATCTGAATGACCATGGCCTAATTAGCAAGTGTATAACGGGTTATTCAGGAGATTTAAATCCATATCTTTGAATGCTGTTGCAGCATCTTTGAATTCATTCATCATCAGGATATTAATACTTGCCCCAGCTGTCTGTGTTGGGGGTATGGGCAGTCAGTAATATAAGTTCCCATTTTATTTCTTCTGCATACAGCTCTTTGGAGATGTCTGCTACAACTGCAGCCATGTGATTGAGGGGGACGGTAAGCTTTGCACTTTCCTTGCTTTTGGTCGCTCTGTGTGCTCTGTTTGTTGGTGCAGCTGTTGCTATCCCACGGTTGTGAAGCACCAGTGTTTGTTGTCACATCTGGCCTCATTGAATTTGGATACAGCCCTGTGTTTAGATAATTTGGCCTGGCTGCCTTTGATTTAGCTTTGCCCCCCTCTATTTTCAGTGGTATCGGCTCTCAACAAGGCTTGGTGTGTGAACTGCTTCTCCTGCTCCACTTGCAACATCAAACTCACATTGAAGTAAGTAGATACTTGCAGTTCTAGAACGATTCCTTCAGCAGCCTGGGGAAATGAGTCCTGGTGCACTGAAGCATCAGAGTTGTGGCACCGTTTCCCCTCTTATCTAGGTTTTATACTTTTACCTAGAAAGGGAACTGATCAAAAACCCATTTCTGAAGAAAATTGTATACTAACTACCCCCAATGAGAGCCAGAGGGGCAGTGAGTACAAGCCAACTTCTGAGCGACCTTTCCTGGTTTCAGGTCCTCTTATGTCATCCCAGCTCACTCCTACTGTGCTCCAGTGGTTTTGCAGGGCTCAGTAAGGAAGGTGCTCTGATAGAGCATGAAGCTGACCCTTCAAAGGA